TAGTGTCAAATTTCTGTGACCTAAGGCAATTAGGGAGAAGTGCCATATAACTAACTCAGTGGTCTTCAAATCAACAATACCATTAAAGTGATAGTCCATATACTCTTAAGAGTCTTTGTGTTGAGTTGAAATACTTTACAAGTCCGTCACAATTGGTCATTTTCGTCCCCCTCCAAGAGAATCTATTGCCAGAAACATTATAGTTTAGCTCATTCGTTTCATATTTATTATCTTATTAAATTTTAATCGAATTTTTTGAATTTCGTTTACTTCTCCCAACTGTCGTTAAAAAAACACAAAATACTCCTTCTTGTTGATAACAATCAAAGAGAGAAAATTATAAATAATATAAAATTTTTTTATAATTGCCTTCAATGTTTCTGTTTGTGCCACATACAAAACGCCGAAAATCAATTAAGTTTTTTTCCGGGCAAAAGTCTCACGAAGGCAGGGCGTAATTAATTGCCAAGTTTAAGATTCACCTGCAGACTCGGTCGCGCCACGCCACGGAAAAAGTAGGCGTACGTCGTTGCGGCTTCCGTGAAATTAAGCGGGCATAAAATAAGCAACGGTCACGGGCGAAATTACTTCTGCAATTACAATTACTGTCTTCAATTTATCAAAATGCAAAAGTGTAACGCCGCTCGTGTCTGTCGCAATAATTCGCCATCGCACCCGAACACCTTGTCCCCCCAAACCCGATGGTGATCACCGTGTGCTGTGTCGCCGTTTCCTTGTCATTCTTAATGATTTAATCGTCAGATGGTCGCGCGTGCTTAAACTTATCAGTGAGGACAAAATAATTAACGAGAATTTCAAGATGTTTCATTAAAACAAATATATAAATATTTAATTTTTTTCAATACCTACTTTCACTTCTTAAAACAGAATATAACTTCTTTTAAATTATTTATTTATTAAATAAAAATCACTGTTTGAATTGATCGCGTAATTAATCGTACTCATTAAGTTGTCATTTGGCGTCGATTACCTCGTATAGTCCCGTTCGGCTTCGATCGCAAAAAGAGGCGGGCTTAATTTAATTTCAAGCAGGGAAATTGCTCAATAAAATAGATTTATCGAGGTGTTCCGTCGGCTTGGGCCGGGGGCGTCAACGCGGCCCCTTTTTCGATTTATTGAAATCAGCGTCACCGAGTCTATCTCTCACAATATTGCATAAATATCATCGCTTAACGAGCGGCCGCGAATTTAATAATCATGTTTTCCGGAACGGTTTAAGACCGTTGGCCATAAAATGACAAGTGTGCGCCCGTATGTATGGGTAGCAGTAGTCGGACGTTGAGTTATGAGTGCCATACAGGTTACTTCAAGAAAACTCGGGAGGGGATTGAACGATGTTGTTGGAAAGTTAATGAATTGCCCGCAAGTGAATTATCGTTAATCTACTTGAACAATGCATCTCTTGCCAAAAAAAAATTACACTCATCAAAATTAATTTGCTTAAATTAAAAAATGTTTTCTTTCAATTTATTTTTTTAAATATAAACAGTCATTTCGTATAACTACTGAATATATGTATATCAGAATCATTCAATTTTGATTGCAAATGAGAGTCTATACTAATAGCAGATTTGAACTTAGCAACATTACAAGACTTTCTAGAATTAAAATTAATTCTATTAAAATAATTTGAAAGTTTCGGCTTTAGTCGTGCGTCTTCAGACCCATTTGCATTATAAGCTGAGATATTTGCAGAAGAACTAAAACTAGAACTAACACTAAAACTAGAACTAACACTACACATAGAACTAGAAACATTCGGGTTTAACCGCGAATCTCTTAAGACGGCTAAACCCGAATGATTCTAGTTCTAGGTCTAGTGTTAGTTCAATAAAAAATATACAACAACCTAGCGCTGAATAACAATTAAAACTAGAACTAACACTAGACCTAGAATTAGAAAGTGTTGGGTTTTACTGTGTGTCTTTGAAGAAGCTAGTCAACAAGAGATGGCGCTAATACGAAATTAGAAATTTAAATTAATAGTCCAAGCGCGTGTATTGAAAGTTTAAGAAAACTATGAATATTGTGGTGATAAACAGACGTTTAATTGTTTCTAAATTGAATAAGATTCGCAGACAAAAGTCGGATTAATTTAATTATCTTTCTTGAATAGTATAATTAAGAAAAGACGGAAATAATAAATCGATTCCCACCGTTGTATATTGCTAAAAGTGTTCGACAGAATTACGATGTTGAAAGTACCGTCTGTTGCGATAAATATTCTTTAAGATACGTGATTGGTAATTGTTAATTTGCGCGTGAAGAGTCAGTTAATGAACGTGATTTGCAAAATTCTTACTTTTACCTTTTCACTTTGATTATTTTATTATTTGTATGTTTCATTCTATTTATTATAATCTTTACATCGATGTAACAATGTAGAAAAGTTCATGCAAAATCAATATTATTTTAATTATATGTAAGGGAAGCACAGGTGCATAAAATTCCAGTTAATCTGAACTTTAAATGATTATCAGAGTGTATATTGATGCATTCGAAAAGATCTTGAAGGGTAATTAGGGCAGAAATAAATGAGAGCTTACGATGATTAACCGTAATTTGTCGGGTAGTTTGTATTGACAAAGGTTATGAGTTTGCAAAGTTGCGTGCGTGTTGCCTTCCAGCGGCGAATCAACATGTTTGGACGTGCCCGGAACCACAGACCAATTAGCAGCTTTTGAACCAATTGCAGTGCATTATGACTTGTTATTATATAGGTCACAGCTTCGGATAAATTTACCTTAAAATAACGAATATAAATTAAAAATAATTTAAATTTTTTTGAAAAATCTCCAGGTAAATTATGTTTCCGCCTATTTCCATTGAACACTAAACGTGAAAGCGACTAATTTCGTGCCTCCGACGTATTGAAAACTCGCCCCATTTTACAAAGCGGAAAAAATTACATACTTTACATGAAATTAACGCACGCCCGCGCTATTATGTTGCCGTCGGCTGTTGCTTTACCAATAATCTCGCGTTTCGTGAGAATATAGCGGGGTTGTGGGAACTCCGATTTCGACTTTCCCTAAAATTACACAGCCTACGGTACCGATGTCGTCGTCAATCGAACGCCGAATTCGTGAAAAGAATGGGCGTACCAAACACACTCCAAACCATATACACCGGACCATATACATTCGCATCGTGGTGATTTTTGCTCGAAGAAACGAATCGTTTACGCTATTGATTTCTCCGTTATTTCGAAAATTCGTCGAACTCGCGTTATTTTACGGTTATTTTAAAAGGTACACAAAGGGTATACAATTTTGCGAAAGAAACGCCATTGTTTGTTTGTCGGCGTGCAGGCGATTTAGGATTTTATCGAAAAACGTTTGTGTGTTACGTACGTTTTTGGTACGTTGAGGAATGGGCTTCGGCCGGCGGGTAGTTCCCGTCGTGGATGGATGCCCATAACTGGGGCATCCATCCACTTGGGGCACGTGCACATGTGACTCTTTAGGGTACGACATGTGGACTCCGCACGTGACTAAGTGCACAGTCCGTTGAGCACCAACGTCTTCTTGGCAATATTAGTATTTAACGACTTTTATACAGTTGACTTTTCGTTCACTTTTCACACTTCGTCTGGCACACATGTCCAAAAACTACATAGCACATGGTATTATCAAACCAACCGAGGATGAACATTATAATGTAACATCAAATTCACCCCTATTTTACATATATCAGAATCTCAAAATCATTCTGTAACTGGAAATGCCATTAACAAAACCATACCATGTCTGGTAGTAAAGAGTAATGTGAGAATAACTCAAGACAGCCATAGAATATATATTATGTAAAAAATCAATCTATTGAAAGGATAAAAGAATACAAACATCTAGGCACAACCCAAATGTTGCTAGTTCTAGGTTTAGTCTACATTTTTATTAAAATATGCAACATAGTGATATCTCGTGCTAACTAGAACTACCTAACGCAGTCACTCTCAGCTTATGATACAAATGGGTAATATTATATGGATTTAGTACAAAAAAATTAATAATAAATTTTAAATTTAATAACTTTTAACTGGCGCCATCTTTTGCCCGACGATCGTTTCTATTTAAGAAATTAATAAAACAGACTTCTGTAAAATAGATGTATGTGTCATTAACACATTGGTAATAAGTTGTAATAACACAGTGATGTCGCTTGTTATTTTAAAATTTAATAATAAGTTTCTAAATTAGTGAAAGAATAACCGTGGTATGTGGTATTTATAATATTTACACCCTAAAATTGTTACAAATCAGTTGTAACCACGCAAATCAATAATGTGAACAAATGTGAACATAGTTAACCTATTTCTGTAATTGTCAAACAGTATCTTAGTAAAGGAATACTTAAGTAATAAAGCAAGTAAAAAATAATTAAAATTTAAGCCCTTTACATCAATTCTCTATGTATAATTTTAAATAAGTCGTGTTTTAGCATCAAAAGTTGCCAAATTTTTTTAGTAACTTTTAGGGTTTTTCGTTTTATAAAGTTCTACTAACAACTTCTAATGAGTTATAAATTGTTATTTTTACATGTTACAGCAAAAAAAGCAAAATACCGTGTAACCCTTTACTTACATCAACCACTTTGGGTCTATTTTCTACATCTGTACATGGTCGTTCTTCAGAGCTCAAAAAAAGGTAAGTCAACCAACTTTCTTACAATTTCTTCCAAAATTTAAAGTCTCAAGCGCCTCAAAACCTTCTCAATTTACTCGCTTAATTTGGAAATAATTTTTATTTTATTATATTTACTGAGATTAAAAAAAAAAATCGTTTTAAAGTGCGCCATCTATGAACCGATTACAAAAGTTTAAAATAATCTTTTATGTGTGTATCAATTTAGTGTGTTTAGGCAACATCCCTTACACATTACTATAACTCAAATATGAGGGCGCAAGTTTTGCAAAAATTTGCAATAATTTATAATGAAAAATATATTTTATGTATTTCATTGTTAAAAAAGACAACGTATTTAAAGCTGGACCTATTTATTTTACATTGGCAGTGTTTTAATATAAATGTTAATGATTTGTTGTAAAACGAATATAAGGCTAAATAAAGAAATGAAAGTTGACTGTAGAGAAAGAAAATTCTGACTAGAAATAAATTTTGAAAAGAATTGATTTACGGAAAAAGAAACATTTAAGTTTATACACGCCAAAATTGTTTGACCAAACCACTTAAGTATCAAATAAAAATTAAATTACGAATATTATAGCACCATTTATTACAAAAATTACTTTCCTTATTTATTATTCGAATAAACCACTTATAAACAAACAAATGTAACCGCATAAAAATTAAAATAATAATAATAATAAAGTGCCCTATTAAAGAAATTACTGGTAGCTACTAACAGCACTTTTTTTTAAGAAGTCGGTTATAGTAGCTACTAATAAATTTATTAATATGGCAAAAGTGTTTTTTTTGAAATTGTAAAAGGGGATAAAGTGAATAGTAAGTAGTACGACTTATCACTATATTTTACATTTTTTACATGCTTTTATTTGTAACAGTAAATAGACATGGCACGGCAGTATTAGTTATATAAAAAGCTAATTTTATACAATATTTCTTTAAAAAATACATTGTCGGTGATGCCTAGCAACCCTTCTGAACAATCTTTATCACATCGGATACTAAGCACCAACAAACGTGAAGGAACACTCAATATTTGAACACAGCAAGATGAAATAGCTTTATCACTGTACACCACCTATAGTTAATGAAGTGATACTGTGTGTATTATTATTACTAAAAACAGATATTAGATGCTCCTGAATTATGAATTTCTCATACAAACTTGACATCTGCCTACTCTGTCTCTTACGTTGCCCGCTTTTAGCGTTTGCCTTTGTGGTGTTTGGAATTGTTGATCCTCTTCGATTGTGGCCAACCAGAAACTCAATTTGTTTGCAAAGTAATGACATGTTCCTTGTGCGCCATTACATTCGATAAACGGTGATGTTCTGAAATCTTCTAAACAAGATCCCGGACTGGATAACGATTGTCCGCCACCCTCTGCACCGGCAGCTGTATGCTGTAATAAATAAATATAAATAAGCTTACATACGATTCAATTAAACGTTAAAATAATTACCATAATAAAACTGTAACCAATCCAAAGACTACTCCACCCAACCGGACAATCGGGCAGCCCTATACTTTGACTATGTACGGCAATGACGTTGGCAGGTGCCTCACAGACAACACATCTTGAAATGTGTGACTTAATTTGTTCTCCGTCTTGGGGCATCATTGGAATAGGCGTATTAGTTGATAACCAATACGATCGATCATTTCGACTGGCGTAATAACAAACATTAGAGAAATCGCAAAATAGGAATGGCATAGTTGAGAATTTTTTGACACAAGATCCCGCGTGACCTAGATCTTGGGAATGAGCTTTTTCGTTGCCTTCAACAAATAAGAGTGAATATCCTTCCCAAAGTTTCACATGACCGTCCTCGCATCGTGGAATTTTATCTGATTGACTGTGTTTGACCACTAATGTACCCGTAAGATAATCCGGTACATGTTCACATGGTTTACCAGGGAAACCAGGTTGTCCAGGAGGACCAACTTTTCCTTGTTGTCCCGGGTAACCGTCCAAACCTCTGTCGCCTTTCGATCCAGGATTTCCTGCACTACCCGGGTATCCATCAATACCAGGTGGTCCTTGATCACCCTTTAATCCATGAGGACCAATTTCACCTTCCAACCCCGGCTCTCCAGGGCGACCAGGTGGGCCTTGTGGACCTGTATCTCCTTTACGACCTTCGAGTCCCGGTAATCCATCCAAACCTCGTTCTCCTTGTTCTCCTTTGTCTCCTTTCAACCCAATTAATCCTTGTAGTCCAGGAGGTCCAGGATAACCCTTCTCGCCTCGTGGTCCTACAGGTCCTTCAAGTCCAGGTGGGCCAGTAAAACCTCGGTCGCCCTTTTCTCCTCGAATACCAACAGCACCAATTAATCCGGTGTCACCTCGATCTCCTTTCTGTCCAGGGGCGCCAAGCAGTCCTGGTGGTCCACGATCTCCTTTATCTCCCGGAATTCCAGGAGCTCCTATGTGTCCTGTTAGTCCTGGTTGCCCATCTCTACCTGGAAGACCTGGTGTTCCTTGGAAACCTCTATCTCCTTTCTCTCCAGACGGTCCAATAGGACCAGGAAAACCTCTTTCTCCTGGTATACCAATTAAACCAACAAGACCTTTCTCTCCTTTTTCTCCTTGCAGTCCTGGAATTCCATTTCTACCATGTTTTCCGGGTAGTCCAGGAAGACCTTTTTCACCTTTGATTGTTAATCCAGGAGATCCAGGTGCTCCAGTGTGACCTCTGTCACCTGTACATTTAATATTAGACGTATGTTAATTACTTTTTAAATATTATCGATTTCAAATTAGAAATCTTTTTATAATAACAACGAAAACCCACATTCTCATTCAGTGATAATCTTAAAAAAGGATTTTGTGTTATTATTGTGAAGAGTTCCATTCTGAAATCGATAAATCCATATTGAACAGTACCTTTTTCACCGCTTGAGCCAATAGCTCCTATAGCTCCTCGATCACCTTCCATTCCTCTGTCACCTTTTTCTCCTGACGCTCCATTTATGCCTTCTAGACCCCGATCTCCTTTATTTCCTTTCAGTCCGGGTAAACCGTTCATTCCAGGTTCACCTTTCTCTCCTTTTACTGCTATTGCTGGACCTGGAGGACCTCGTTCACCCATATCACCTTTCTCTCCTATTAAACCTATGGGTCCTATATCACCAGGGAATCCCCTCTCTCCCTTCAGTCCTTGTAATCCGTAAGCACCTGGATGCCCAGCATCGCCCTTCTCCCCAGTTAGTCCTTGAATACCGTATGGACCTGGCTCTCCTTTTTCACCAGGTAAACCATCTCTACCATCCATTCCAGGTAATCCCATTTGTCCCGGATTTCCTCGTTCACCTTTATGTCCTGGTAAACCAAAAGGTCCCATTTCTCCTTTAAATCCTTTAGTCCCCGGTAATCCATCAAGTCCTGGTAAGCCTGGTTCTCCTTTCGGACCTCTTGGACCGGGTGTACCGATTCCTGGAAATCCTTTATCACCCTTTGGACCTTGTAAGCCATGTCCTCCAGGTTTTCCTTCAGGACCTCGAATACCTGGTAATCCAGGTTCACCTTTTTGACCTTTCTCCGATACATCTCCTGGTTCTCCTTTTAGACCTTCTATACCAACCAGTCCTCTTTCTCCTTTCACACCTGCTGGACCCATTAGACCTGGTACTCCAGGGACACCCACTGGACCTGTATCTCCCTTAGAACCCGGTAAACCAACCACACCTTGCGGTCCTGGTTGACCTGGAACTCCAAATGGCCCAGGAAGACCTCTTTCGCCTTTTTCCCCGGTAAGTCCCGGTTTTCCATCCATCCCTGGTTGACCTGGTGTCCCTGGTTGTCCTCGCATACCCGGAAAGCCTTTAGGCCCTTCATTTCCTTTAATTCCAGCAGCTCCTTTCATACCTGGGAACCCTGGCATTCCTACTCGACCGGTTTCTCCCTTCAATCCTGGTTCACCTTTAGGTCCGTCAAGACCAGGTTGTCCTGGTGGACCTGGTATACCCATTGGACCTTTAGGACCGGGTTCTCCTTTTTCGCCTAAACTGCCTGGAAGTCCAGATAACCCAGCTACTCCGATATCACCTTTTTCGCCTTCCAGGCCTGGAAGACCAGGCGATCCAGGTTGCCCTGGTTTACCAGGAGGGCCACGTAATCCTTTTTCTCCGGAAATTCCTGGCGGTCCTTGAGGTCCTTGGGGGCCTATACCTGGAATACCAGCTTCACCTTTATCTCCCTTTCGTCCGGAATCACCGGGCCATCCTCTTTCACCGGATATTCCCTTATCTCCTGGGAATCCTAATTGACCAGGTTCTCCTTTATATCCGCGAGGACCAGGCAAACCGCGTGGTCCTACAGAACCAGGTAGTCCATGCGGTCCCTGTTCTCCTGGCAAACCTGTTAATCCACGGTCTCCTTTTTCTCCTGGTGCACCATTTATTCCTTGTAAGCCAGTGTCACCCTTATCGCCGGTTGGTCCACGTTCACCTTTCTTTGATAGTATGATGTTTTCAGCCATGTTACAATTATCGCCTCTTATTCCTTGAGGGCCAGTGTCACCTTTTGTGCCGTTCCTACCCGGATAACCTCTTGGACCAGGTTCTCCTTTTAAACTTTCTCCCTTTTGTCCTTTTTCTCCATTAAATCCAGGTGTCCCATCTTGCCCGTCAATACCAGGAAAACCTCTATATCCCGGTTCTCCTTTTTCACCAGGTAATCCCTGCAATCCTGGTATACCTGGCATTCCGGTTGGACCAATATCTCCTTTAGGACCATCCCTTCCAGTATCACCTCGTGCACCTTTATCGCCCTTTTCTCCTTTAATTAAGCTAAGAGGAATTAACGCATCTTGTCCTGGAGGACCTTGAGGTCCTGGTGCTCCGCTAATACCATCTAACCCCTGAAAATATGTACATTAATAATAAAATAGAAATGTTATTTAACTGAGGATTTCGTACACGATCACCCGGTACTCCAACTGGACCCAAAATTCCATCTTCTCCAACTTCTCCTTTGATTCCCGGGGTTCCTGGAACACCTCTTTCACCTGGTTGTCCGGGAATTCCGTCTCTTCCTCTGTCTCCTTTGCTTCCATTTCTGCCTGGGAAACAAGCTTGACATCTTCCACCGATATCGCCCTTTTCACCTTGCAATCCATATGCACCAGGAACTCCAGGTCGACCAGCTTCTCCTTTATCTCCTTTATTTCCAGGTGGCCCTGTAGGACCCGGAATACCAGCGGTGTTATCTCCAGGAGCACCTCGTGAACCTGCGAATCCCCGTTCACCTTTTTGACCCTTCTCTCCATCTAGGCCTGGCATACCGTCAAATCCTTTTGCGCCCTAAGTTAAAATTATTATATTTTTACATAATAAATATATTATATTAATTGTATTACTTTAATTGAAAGGCCAGCTGGGCCTGGTTCACCCTTTTCTCCCATAGATCCTTTAAGTCCCGGAAGACCTGGTTGACCAATCATTCCAGGAAATCCGACTGTTCCCGATTCTCCTTTATCTCCTTTTTCACCAGGTGGTCCTTCATGTCCTGGTCTTCCTGGTATACCTTGTCCACCTGGGGGACCACTTGGACCTTTTTCTCCCATTGGACCATCAATACCATCTTCACCTTTTGGTCCTGGTAAACCAGGGTATCCCATAGGTCCTATAGCTCCCGGTAGACCTGGAGTACCTTTTCCGCATCCTGGTCCAGGTGGACCAACCAAACCAGACTCGCCTTTGTCGCCATCTCTACCTGGTTCTCCTTTTGCACCTGGCCTTCCAGATAATCCAGGGATACCATCTGAACCTCTATCTCCTTTTTGCCCTGCGGGACCTGGAGGGCCTGGATAACCATCGCGACCCTATAAAATATGATGTGTATAAAGTGAATTTCTTTTAAGTTAACAAAACGAACTCGAGGGCCAGGTGATCCTGGTAAACCTTTTTCGCCTTTTCCACCAAAGCTTCCTTTTTGTCCTTGGTCGCCTGGGTAACCTGTATCACCTTTCGGTCCATCACGACCTCGTACTCCTTGTGGACCTCTTTCTCCCTTTTCACCAGGCGATCCTTTTATAATTTGAGTGGTATTATATGATTGATTTTCATAGGAGATTCCTCTTGGTCCAGGTTCACCTTTTTCACCTTTTTGACCTGGATCACCACTATAACCTAATCCAGGAATACCAGTGCTTCCTTTAGCGCCAGCATTACCAGGGTATCCCTTTAATAAAGCAATTAAATAAAATGGTATTGTTTATATTGTTTATATGTACTCTTTCGCCTTTGTCCCCCATAGGCCCTTGCCTTCCATCAGGACCCGTTGGCCCAGGCGGTCCAGTTAACCCATGCACTCCATCACGACCAGGTTCACCTTTTTGTCCCTTGAGTGATATTTCACAATGAGCCGCTTCTCCTTTGTCTCCCTTTGAGCCAGGGAATCCAGGCATTCCTCTAGGACCAGGAACACCGGAGTCTCCTTTTTCACCAGGATATCCCTATAAAATTTATAATTAAGTAATTAATTTTTTATAATTGAGTTGTACTTACATCCGTGCCATTACAACCATCTAATCCAGGAATACCTGGTTCCCCAGGGGGACCCATTACTCCAGGTATTCCATGTACACCCGGGTATCCCGGAACACCACTTTTTCCTCGTTCACCTTGAGGTCCTCTTGGCCCAATCAATCCAGGTTCACCTTTGCTTCCTTTCGGTCCCATAATACCTTCACCTCCTTGGTAACCTCGTAACCCTTTTTCTCCTGGCCGACCTTGAGTACCTGGAGGACCCTACAATATTTGCAATATAATAAAGTGGTTACAACCTAATTCTAAATAAAAACTGTGGTTTTTATGTTATTTACCCGACTGCCCTTTTCCGCAAAACATTTCGGGATACATCGTTCCGTGTCGTTTTTCGGACCCAATGCGCTTCCCGGTGCTTCGAAAATATCGAAATTGGTATTGGGTGGCCTACTTCTTCTATACGGACTAGCAGCGTATGGAGAAATATTTGGCATGTAATTTCTTTGCGATCCTGATGAATATGTGTTCAACGCGGTGGGTTGGGGAGAATGAGGTGGCCTGTAGTTAGCGTTATACCCCAGAGTATCACTTCGTCCATAGAGACCAGTTCGATCATTTGAAAAGTATTGCTGAAAATACCAAATATCAGAAAATTTTAACTTGATCTGATGTATCACACTCTATATCTGTCATAAAATTAATTTTTAGACGCATAGATGGCGCTGTTTGTTAATATTTTGTTCGGCCATCTTAAAATTATGATTCATTTGTTTACGGCCATCTTGGATTTTATAAAAATAGTAATACAAAATATCTCAGGAAGTATATTGACTAAATAGGTCGTGTTTGGATTCTTTTTAAAGGATTTTTCATAAAGATGAAGAAAATTTGAAAATTATAGTCAAAATTTTTAACCGGAAGTTGAACCATCTTTGGAATGAGATGTTAACTTATTTATCACGGTGATTTATAACTGCACGGTGAGATGGGATGGAAATTCTCTTTTTATATATTTTTTTGTAAATGTGAGAAAGCAATTAAATTTTAAGAAAATTCGTGTGGATCTTTTTGTTTGTAATGGTTATATTGCAGTTGGTTCGAAGAGTTGAACGAACTGCGAAGTTATATCGCCAATTAAAACGAAATCGTACAGCGGGCCACCAGACAGGTAAATTGAGTTGTGTTCTTTCGGCCAATATTAAGAGGAGTACCGCTAAGTCCTCTCGGAGGAGAGTTTTTATTAAGTGACCCACGAATTATTATTATCGAAAAAGAAAGCGCAACAACGTATCCATCGAAGATCGCCTTCGTTCTTTCGTTACTCATACAAAGGCTATAACAATGAGCTTTGTTTCGAATACATTTATCGATAACGGATCCCATTACAACACTATAACTCTTAATATTTAAACTCTTAATAAAAAATTATTGATAGGTATTCAATGTTGCAAAATCTTTCTTACAATATTTGTTGATTATACAATTCATAGTATTCTATGAATGAATTGTGATAATATTATGTAACCTTCACGAACGAAGGCGTCGTTAAACCCACTTCGAACTAACCTATCTTTAACATTTGCACACTTTAAACTCAAATTCGTACTTAAACAAGATATAACTCATGCATCAAACGTTCTCTTGGGCATGTAAACTTGACTTGTTATTAGATAAATCATTAATGGTATTAGGTTAAGTTGATTCACTTTATAACAAACCAACACGAAATCCATTCAAGACGTGTTATTCAAATTCCATTACCGTTTTCTCTTCAACGTCGAATGAAATTCCATCTGGAAAGATTTACGATCGTTGATGCCCTCAAAGCCTATTCACCACACTAACCTGCTACACCACATATAAAAATAATAAAAAACCATAACGTCTTTACGAGATGAATGAATTCGCTTTCGTTAATATTATTTGAGGCGAAGATTAATTGTTGACATCACTATTTAGTCCTAAATAAAAACGCAGTAATACGCTTGAAATAGAATCGGCACATATAAGTAAGTTTCGTATTGTTTTCTCTATGACTTTTTACGGCTCTAAAATAAATTTTAATTGTCGTGTGTAAGAAAAGAAATCGTTTTAAAATTAGAAATTATGTTTCCTTCTGATAAAAAAACGTGATTTTAATGTAGGTTGTTACTACCACGCATAAAACACAATTAGTAAAGTGTATTAACGACAAACGTACTAGTACATAATGGGGCAGATAAATGGTTACGAAAATAAAAATTAGTTGACCTCCCATGTATCGTTTTGCGTAGGCAAACGGTTATAAATGTATGAGTTGCATTGAAATGTTAATGTTTATACCGTTCGTTATAAATCTAAAATTATGTACAATACGTTTACTAATTTAGGTCATTTTAAATTTGTCTAAATTTGTAAATAGTAGGTTAAACACCCTGCTGTTAAGGGTCGCTTCCCTTTTGGGGGTCAAAACAGGTGGTTAAAGTTACAAAGAAATGAAACTTACCGCCGATGTATAAGACGTCAACGCAATGATGGACGCCACGAACCTAGAAAAAGAAAAGAAAACGGTAACATTTGTCGTATTTGTGTGTACGATTTCCAAGAAGTGATGCTTTTCAATGGTGCTAGTTCAAAAAGAACGGACTAAATGTCATTCGGTTGAAACAATCACTTCTTATCAATACTCGCGTCCGGTCTTTGTATGAGTTAACTTGATGCTCATTTATTAAAATAATAGAAATTATTTCAAGTTTGATGATTTAAATCGTTAATGAAATCATATTGATTTTATTTCTAGTGATTAAGTATTAATTTATATATGAAATTAAATATGAACTGGTCTTTAATTGTTTTTCTATCTTTTTTTGTCCCAGCGGCTAAATCCCCCATCCTTCATAATACCTTCTACCTACTTCCTATTTCTATACAATATAAATTTCCCATTTAAATTCCTCCTTCTTCATTAATTTTTAATCATATATAAATATATATTTTAATATATTTGTCATAAACTAATACATATTTTTACAAAAGTTTACCAGTAGTATGTTTATCTAATTCATTATTCAAATTTAACTAAATTTAATTGTTAATTAATTTTGTTCATTTAATGATGTTAATCTGCAAATGGCCATGATTTTTGCTTCTGTGCATAACAATTTCTGTTGCACTTGCTCCTGATATTGTTTGTCTCTATAATATTGTGCATGTAAGCACGATATTTTGTTTCTGACGAAAATTATTCTTCTGCACATAATGTTTTGCATCTAAGCATGACATCTTATTTCTGAACAAGATTTTGCTTCTGCACATCATGTTCTCTTATGCACCTGTCCATGATATTGTTTCTACTCATCATATATTGAATATATAATACAGTTGAGCTGTCGGGCTGATTGCGAAGATCTTGTGGAAGATTAAAACGATTCTTCTTATAGATAGATAGATTCACAACGGAAAAAAACCCGAATAACTTAATTTTTTGTGGAAAACCGATAATCTTCGAATATTAATTTCAAAGTGATCGGGGTTTTGAATCTAAAAGCTAACGTGATGATATTCAACCTTTATAAAACCTGTAATAGCAACATTATCTCACGATTAACGTAAAATTAATCGTCGATTAGAAGTTGTTTTTGAGTAAAAACATTTTCATCATAGGACTAGAACTGACATTAGACCTGGAACTAGAAATATTGGGTTTAGCCGTGCGTCTCTTGAGACGGCTTCTAGTTCTAGGTCTAGTGTTAGTTCTAGTTTTAGTTCAATAAAAATATACAACAATTTAACGCTGATATAACAATCATAATAACAATTAAAACTAGAACTAACACTAGACCTAGAACAAGAATCATTCGGGTTTAGCCGTCTTGAGAGACGTGCAGCTAAACCTGAATGATTCTAATTCTAGGTCTAGTTTTAGTTCAATAAAAATATACAACAGTATAGCGCTGAATAACAATTAAAACTAAAACTAACACTAGACCTAGTACTAGAAAGTTCTAGAAAGAAATTTTTCTAGTTCTAGGTCTAGTGTTAGTTGTAGTTTTAGTTAATTTTTATCTTATATTTAAAAAAATTAACGATCGATTAATGATTGATTAAAGTTAACATTGTTAATTGACGTTTATAAAAACTTTCCTAACTTAACAGGACGCTATTCGATGATTAACGATATTGACATTCGATGATGATTTTATGAAATAAACTTTTAAACTTGACGTCAAATTAAGCTTATTATTAACGTCGAGCTTCATAAAAATTAATTCTAATTAAGGAGAATAATTAATTAATGATAATGACACAAAATCGATTTTAAAAAAAATGAGAAATAAAGTTTTAAAGTTAATTGGGAATCCTATTTAAACTGGAAAAATCTGCATGATTTAGGTTAATTGGTTTATATTTATAATATTTAATTACGAATTTTAAGCGCTCTAATAATTTTATCTTCCAAAAATATCATAGTAAATATCCCAAAATCATTAAAAAAATACGCTATCTCATTTGACATGTCCTAAATTGATTGTATTATCGTAGGTCACACTCCAACGTTTGACACTAAATTCCAAATTATATAGCGATAAAATAATTTGCGTAATTTTTTTAAATAAAATTACATAACAATATAAAAAAGTCTTAATTATCTCGTTTTCCGTTATTATAACATTTGTGATCTTTGATAGAAAGAGTTCAATAAAACATTTTTTTTTTTGGTAAATAATATGGTCAAAAAAAGATTTATAATCACTAATTATACGAAGGGAAATAAACGCCTGGCTATTAAAGTACATAAATTAATTTAATCGTATCTTATAACACTCCTTCTTTCGGAAAATTATAACTAATTAATTTTTATGCGTCTCCTTATCGAAATCCGGAATTTTATAACGACCACCCGTGATGATTCGACCGAAAATAAGCATCTTTTATCGTAGATCTCCCGAAAATGTTTTAACCTTATCCTTAATAGCTCCTACTGTACACCGTTTACAAGCTCAAAACTAGTCACTCTTCCTCTTTTTCTTTTGTAGCCCTGATTGAATAAATTACGATTATATCTTGTTTCAGTCAAGATAAACCACGTACGGTCGGCGTCTTTCAGCGTTTATTCCGAAGCAAAATAATGTTTAGATTAGGAGAATAAGGAGAACAGATGCCCCTGTTATCTGTTGTAATCACTTCAGGAAGTTGGTAATTTTTAAGATTTTTTTACTAACTTATATTAAAATTTTTTTTATTGTTGTTATTAAATTAATTTAAAAAAAAATACTTACGTAAATCCGTGGACGTTCATCGTAATGTCTGTATCCTTCCCCAAGTCGGGGAATATACAAAGTCACTGCACAATTCGTATGTGATGAAGTACACGCGTTGTTGCGCACCACTGAGAGCGCTTAAGCTAAAGTTGGCTCGCAGAAGTCTGGTCTTCATTCCGGACCCTACTTCCAAGATGCGCGACTTCGCGTACTTCTCACAAAATCTTCATTTTCTCCCAAACCATCAAAGTTATTTCAAAGAAATTTTCACAACCCCTCTACAACACCCTTCGCTACACCTCCCCTAAATTTCAACGAAATATCTTAAACGGAACCACTAAAAATACTCGTTTTTTAAGGTTGCGCTTGAAGCTTAACACTTTTATGGAGAGGGGCTCCTTACGAGAATTTCTGGCTCCTGAGGACAACATGGGGCAGTAAGCTATGCCGCTGCAACCGGGATGTTGCCCGGCAAGGCTCTTAGCCGTGGCACTGTTTGTTTCGTTTGTGGTTAGCGCAGCCGAAGCATCGGTAAGTTCATTTTATTTTTATTTCGTCTCGGTCGTGGTTCGTCTTCTTACCGCTCAGGTATCTTACCTGGAAACCGCGAACCTTCTTAATTTCTATCCCCCGTCGTATAAACCGGACGAATTGACTTTGCAAAAACGTCTTAATCCCGCAACATTTCTGCGCATGTTCAACCCCCTTTATTTATATTTAAACATTATACAACCAACAAACTATTTTTATTCGAAATCGTTTTACGCTTCATTATAAAGATTTTATAAAACGATAAATACATCATTTTCTTTATCTAGATTGAATCTGGTAATTAGATCTTGATAAAAACTAAAAAACGCTTAAATACACGTGGCGTTAAGCTACCGCGCATCATTTATCATATCTGAGTTTCAATTTACAAATTGAATTCGTTGTTTTATAGGTTTTACAAATTACTTTAATCTTTTAAAAAATATCTTTTAATTGGTTTTATTAAGAAGCTTTTAAATCAAATTTTAAATTATCTATTAATTACATTATTAGGCATGATTATTTATTTATAAATACTGATTGATTTTCTTATTGGATTTTAAGTTATTTAGAAAATTCTTTAGAATGTCGTGTATGGGATTAAAATTTTTGCTCACCCAACCATCTTTTACCACTCCCCCCTCAACATTTCTTTTAATATCTGTTCATCATTTCTTATGTATCTCAACATCATCCTCATCCTCGAACATCTCCTATAACATCTATCAGTAATATGACGTTTATGGCATTAAAATTGTTTTTGGCATATCTCATCATAATCCCTAAACATAATCTCCTAACATTCCCAAAACTTCACCCTCAATATTGTTGTTCCTTCCTCAACAGTTTCTCCATTACCCTGGATCAACATCCTTCTAATATCCTTGGATATCGTGTCTGATACTTAACATAGTCCCTAATATTTCCAACTCTATCCTTGCCTCCCTCAATATCTTCAGCATCATCTATCAATATCGTCCTTGATATTGCTAAACAGTCCCTGATATTATTCTACAAATTCCTTACTATTACTCGTGCTGCCTGTAGTTTGGCATAGAACTCATTGCAAGTTGCACTTCTTCGGGAAATGTCCAAGATGTCTGGTTCCATGCAGTATTCTACCGACATAGTCTTTCCATTTTCTTCATCTGCCGCGTGCCCATCTAACTAAGTATGTCCTGCATCCCATTGTCCCTGATGTCTTCGCTTCTTATGGGGTCTAGCAAAGAGTAACCAGCAATTGCTCAAAGGGTTTTCATCTCTGTGATTCTAGGGAACCTTTTGATTGTGGTGTTTTTCACCCCTGTTTCAATGGCATATGTCATCACCAGTCTTACAGTTATCTTATCCTCACCTTACATCTGATCCTCACCTTACGTTTTGTTTCTACGTATTTGTTCCTCCATATTGCATCCTGGAGCACCCTGGGATTCGTTTTTTGGCTATAGTTAGAGACTGCGTTTTCTTCGAGGCTATCTTCTAAAGTACTATTTTAGTTTTCTTTTACATCTTCTAATATCATCTACCCAGAGCGTACCTGATTTCGTCTGATCGTCTTTAACATCAAAATAATTTCTGACATATTTCAACATAATTCCTAACATTGCGCAACATTATCTATCTTTGTTTCTGATATAGTCCAATATCGTCGTATCTGAATTTCCGAATATCCTTGATATCTCTTAACACTATTCTGGCATGTCTCAACGTTATGCCATCAACAGCATCCGTGGCAAGGGACGATGTTTTATCCACATCGTCCCTTGTTTTTGGTTCTGGTCCATTCATCCTCAACATCGTCTATGGCCTTTTCTTTATGATCTTCCTCAACAACTTCAAATTCGTTGAAATAGACAAAACATTTTTGGTATTGCTAAACATTTTTGCTGATGTCTCTTAACTAAATCCATAATTCTAAACTAAGATGGTATAATATTCGTAGGAATCAGAAAAAGGAACAAATACATTTCCTAGTCATCCGGAACAACGATCCTAAAAATTAATTGAAAAGCTTTTATCTGGAAAAAATTTTTTGGGTCAAAAAGAATTCTTTAGTGTCATAAAGAAAACCAAAAATCTTTTAATTTGATACCCAACAACATATATTTTCTGTAAAATAACAAGATAACCTCAAAAAATGACAGTTAATAGTCGCCATATTCGATTTTATTTGTTTTTATTTATAGAGTTTTACATCTTCGAGAGCTTTTAAGATAAATTCGTGGTGTTTGGACTTAAATAATTTAATTTTTCATTTTAAATCTTACCTTAAATATATTAATCGATTTCATGAACTAAACTAACCTTTAAAGTATCATGCATATTAAGATTTAATGTAACATTAGAAGTGTTTTCTTTTTGCATTTAACTTTGTTAAATTTCGCGTAAACAACCTTCGAATAACGGGGGCATTAAAATCCAACAAATTTTCGAAATGATTTGGTCCGCATCTATTAATAGGAATTACAGGCGAACCATTTCCTGCCGTCAAACTTCAAGGAATAATGAAATGTTCGTTCAACACTTAACATTAGATTCGAATTTAGAACGTAGTAAATATTTGGTACTATATAAATTTAGCACATCTTTAATTATAAAAAATTGTTGACACCGAAATCTAAATGATAAGGTTGTTCTAATTTTCGTCATTCTTTCTAGAAGGTTTTCATTTTGACAGTTAGTTCCTATTTGGTAATTTATTTAGTACGGGGTCAGTGTCTTCATATCTGTGACACTGATATCAGCTTCCCGCCTCATTGTACCAAGAACTTTCCGCACTATGCTTCATTTTTTTCCGGTATCATTCGTGAACCGTCAAAGATTAACAAGTCAAGTAAATAATTTTTTTCTAGGACTAATGTTATTCTTAGCACGCAATCTTCTTTTTTTGACCTCTCAAAAAGAAATAACAATTTTTGTTAATAAAAATTAAAAACGTTTCTCAAAAATAATCCGTAAGATGATATATGAAGATAATGTACCACCCACCCGTTAACCAATAATTACCACTTTAAGAGTCGATTCGAATACAAAAAGAGGTATCCCATCCAAAAGAAAGACCGAAAGAGTTAACCCAACGTTGAGACCACGTGAAATCGGTAATAATTATGTCGTTACGGAACTTTTTTAATCCCATTCTCCAATAAAAGATAATTGTTCCAAGTATTAACCCGAGTTATTTCATTGTATGAAATCGATGCGCCTTCCCCGGCAATCAATTAATCAAAAATACGTAATGATGCCGCCAAAGAAAAACTTCTCAACATTATTCCTTCGACTTAAATCTCAAAGAATGACCGGCATTTCTTTTTTAGTTATGCTGATTGTTAATTATGTGGAAATCTTGTTTTTTTGTAACATAAGTTTCTGTGACAGTATTAAATTTCTGCTTTGTCGGATGAAACAATTTCGTTCACTTAATTAAAAAAAAATTGCATAATAACCCGTTTGGTACAGTGTAGGAGTTTTAACTATTCTAATGCTTCCTATTATATCACACCGGATGTGATAAGCCGGACATCTATCGCATCTTCCTCCCGTTATCGAAATGGCAATGAGTTTTTTTTTCTAACGCTTAAAACTTTTGTAATACTCTCCGTAAGATAGAAAATGTATTCGTAATAAAACGCTATCGACACGAGGGTCACTTTAGATAAACTCGTAACGAATTTTATAAAGCTTTAAAGCTACATCAAACTGATTGAGATGTAATCTAAATAACCGCCAATGATTCACACTTCTTTGAAAGGAAATGCTGATTATAAAAAAATATGGATACTGACAGAATTTCTTTAAAAATGGATTCATCGTCAAAAATAAATAATGCCGTAAAAATCGGTTTTGTTTATTTACACTATTTAACGAGTTTTATGCACCACAAACCGCATGACGCAATACGATTAACTTGTTAATGATAAAAAAATTTAAAGAATCACAAAGAGATTACCACAGAAAAGGATAAAGTCGCAGATTGTTATAAATTTTCCAGTGCGTAGAACGATATTCGTTTCGTGATACTACATACATATAATTTAATGGCGGTTATTATTTTAACCCAGGAAGTATGAACACAGAACTTCATGCTGTATCATCGTAAACCTAAGATATATTTAGACGTAGGTGTAAACATTCTTTAAAAGCCACTTTGGTGTTTATAACTTGTTATGATTCGCTCACAAAATAATCTTTATTTTTTTGTTCAACCCAACTTGCATGTGACCTAAACTAGTACTAAGCTAGATCTCTAACATTGACACTAGAACTAACACTAGATCTAGAACTAACACTAGAACTACAGAGTTTAGCCGCACATCTCTCAAGACGGCTAAACCCGAATGATTCTAGTTCTAGGTATATTGTTAGTTCTAGTAACAGTGCTAGTGTAAAACTAGAAATAACACTAGATCTAGAACTACAAAGTTTCTAGTTTAGCAAGTTTCAAACTTAACAAGCACTTGTTTAATTTAATTTGAGCTACATCGTATTCCTTATCATCTATAGCAGCACTTACGACAATTAAATTATTACTGTCATTTTGTACTTTTCTGGAAAATAGGTTTTTTTAGATTTATGGAAAATTTAAGGTTGATCAGAATTTCTGATTTACTTAGTTTCAACTGCATTTTATTCTCCATCATCTCTAAGGCAGAAAATATAGAATAAAATACTTTTAACATTTCCCCTTTCTTAGGAAAACAAATTTTTCATGAATTCTTGGACCTTTCAAGTTCAACAACATTTTTGGTCAAATTAATTTGAATTGCATTTATTGCAGCAAATGTGAAAATGAAATTGTTTTTGATGAAATAGTTTTGTTTTTGGAATTTTATCAATTTTGGATTGAGCAGAATTTTTGGTCAATTTAAAACAAAAATATATAATCAATATCCACATTATTTCTTGCGTACATACAGACAAATGTTATACTTCCGCGTTTATTAGTTTCATTCATTGACGTTCCAGTCACGGTTGATAATCTTTAACCTCTATTAATCACATTT